GACTAAAACTGGGATGTGAAGGGATTAAATTTTCTACGTTCCTATCATTTGTCCTTAATCAACATCACATGTTTTTTGTCCTGTCCAATGACAGGAAAAATTGGACTGATGTGTCCGAGTTTTATCTAATGAAGCATCGTAGAGTTACACTAAGCCTTATTATTCAATGGATAGGGGTAGAATGCTGTAAGGCAACAGGTTATACAGTGTGTTCACAATTCATAGGTACACAAAGTATATCTAATCATTTCTGTGTTTTGTTTTGTCCAGCAAAATCAAACACATACAAAATTCCTATCATTTAATGGAGCAATGCAAATCTTAAATACTACAAGTCAAGTAATTAAAACAGTTCCTTTATGAACTTCGAGAAAATAAAACACTTGAATGTGTAGTAATTTCTCTGGATGAAACATTTAGACCTGATCACATAGCCAGCTTATCTACATGTGATGGTATATCGAATCATCATTGATCTTACATACACAGCACTTGTTTCCTTTATTCCCAACAGAAACGATAGCCATGTTTTATCCCTGTAGCGACAAGAACTACGTTTCACTCCTGGTAGGTTTTAATTAAGTTTTATGCCGATGAAGCCCCTATTGCATCATTTTAATCAGTGCTTGAAGCCAAACAGATATAGACTAAATGCGATTACACAAATAGAATACAACACAACACCATCTCTCAATCCACAGCGATACAGGTTGGAAAGGAAAGCAAGTGCTGTTTTAGCATCCGCTACTTAACATCCCTTTGATGACAGATCCCCAGGGTCAAACGGATTTATACACGCCTTCTGAACACTTCCCTAAAACCCTGGTTTTTATATTTTGAAATGGAAAACATTGACAGGTGAAGGATTAAGCAATCATGTGTGAGCTGAGGTTTCGTACCAATGTCCTTTTAGACATGGAAAAGTTTGACACGAATGTCTCATCTACATCCTGGTCATGCTGATGCTTGTCACGGCTGTGCCACCACAGGGCTTACACTAACCTGATTAGAAATGGTTGAAGACTTATTCTGAACCTGATTAGAGATGCAGCAACCAGGTTAAGGTCATATAACTTACATTTAAAGCAGTACTTGTGTAAAAAATAAACTTCTAAAAGACAGAAAATCCATTTATATTTTTCCTAAAAAATTTCCATCTGATGGAGCAGTAACAGAAACAAAAGTGACAACTGGAGAAACCAAATTGGAGGAACGGCGTGTCATACACTTTAAAATTTGTATTTTATAAAATTGAATTGATAATAAAATTCAACACCAAACAAATTTCTCATTCCTAATTTATTGATTCACTTACAATGTTATCATTTGTTATTTGGATATACAGGAGACATTTCTGAGAACACTTGCACTTTTTTTGAAAATTTTAACCTATGTTGTCTTTAGCTAAGAAGAATAAACAGTGTAATTTCCAATCCTTCTAAGTAAACAACTGCTCAGGGCAGACCCAGTTAATTATATGATGTATTGTTCTAGAACCATAACAGAATTATTGGCATTAACCCTGGAAAACTTTAATAGTTGTTGTGACTTAAACATTTTGTCTGGTGTACTGCCAGAGGATCTGTCTGCTTCAACAGATGATCAATTTGTATATGGATAGTCAATTATCCAAGTTTAAACCAAAACACTTTTCAACATTACACATCTGACCCTTGACTTTGACAAAATTAATTAAAGTTTTCATATTCTAAACACAGCTTTGAACTATCAAAATTTAAATTTAAAGATCTGGTTCATTGATATTTCTCGAGTATAATGCATCTTGCACCTCTAAATCTTCTGTCTGACTAAGACCTCTGTAAGAAATGTGAATATCTTCAGTAAGGATTTGTTTTCCTTTATTACCTTGATGTTTATTTTTTTCAGTATGAGTCACCTCATTGTTTGCAAGTCTGTGATGAAATCATGACAGAAATACATTTCTGGAATCTGCTTGACGTGCTGGTTCTATCAGCCCCTTGGTGGTGTGCATGTTTATCCCCTATACATCTCATCAGGAACGTGTATAGTTTCCAGTTCCATGAGAGTTATCCACTGTTGTCAAAGCCAGTATATGTAAGTACATGTAATGTTCTACCTTAAGATACATGCCTCTCTACAGGAAAGTGATTTCCTAACCATCCTGAAAGCTGACACCAACCCGAAGCTTTCAACAGAGTGAGGAGGAAACTGCTAAATGGCAGGCACAATTTGTGTATTTCCTGTAATGTTATTTGTGAACAGTAAAAGTCAGCAGTCCTTTGACTTTTGGAGTGACAGGGAAAAGTAATGGTGGACAGACTGTAGTGTACAGGAAGTAGGAAAGCTTTTTTTTCTCTTGTATAAAGTATGTCCATCCATCCCCACTTTAATTGTCATCCACAGCAGAAAATTGTCAGGTGTCAGATGTCAAAGTCTTAATGGCAGAATCTCTTCAGCCACTCTTCTCTTCCCTTCAGTCCCGAGAATTAGAATGAACAAAGAGGTCTTAATTCTCATCAGTCACTAGAATTTGGAGGAAATAAGGGGTTGTAAGTCTCATCTCCTCAGTCACTAGAATTTGGAGGAACTAAGGGGTTGTAAGTCTCATCTCCTCAGTCACTAGAATTTGGAAGAACTAAGGGGTTGTAAGTCTCATCTCCTTAGTCACTAGAATTTGGAGGAACTAAGGGGTAGTAAGTCTCATCTCCCCAGTCAACTAAGGGGCCATAATTATGATGCTATAGACAAACATGAAGGTGCATACTCAATTTGGAGGAACTATACCATTGTAATTTGGATGAACTAAAGGGTCAACATTTGCATGGCTTTGAAAAAAACATGAAGGTGCAAACATCAAATTAGACGGTTATGAATTTTTGTTGATCACTGTAAACAGAAAGTATTCAACAAAAGTTGGAGGATTGCTGACCTTGTGCCAAAGGGAAGTAAAAATATGTTCATGGTGTATTGGTGCCTTATATATATGTGAAAACACAACAGGAAAATAACATCATCTCAATAACATTATAATCCAAACTCATTCAACAAAATCAGAGCAAAATATGAACAAAAGAAAGATTTACACAGAGCTTCCTGAAAAAGTACACATAGAATATGACCAAGTGTTCCAGAAAAATAAGTGTCGTCATCTTCATTGAAAAAGAAACATCTGCCCTGTTAATCTTGGTCAAACCAAGTAAATAATGTCACATTCTCCAATCAGAACACGGTATACAGCAACGGAACCAACAGGCAAACTAATGAGAATCAAACACATCCAGCTTCATATCTTACAAGGAAATTGAACATTTCTCAATGAGGTCACTATGACGACTGTAAAATTTCCTTATAATTTTCATCAACCTGCATCTTTTGATCCCTGTGTCATGTCTGTCAGTGTATGACTTCCTGCATGAAAACAGTGATAGACTAATCGACACTGTATATTATGAATTTGAGGGTCTGGTCAGAACAAGAGTCAAAAATATTTTCCAGATCCACTTGTGACTCTACGTTACATTGATAAAATAAATATCCCAGATGAAATAGATATCTGTATATGAAAGTCAGTCCTCAGATGAATCATAAGCCCATCTGTAGTTAATTAAGTTAGGTAATAAGGCTGACCCAGGACAACTGTATGGTCCAACCTTCTCCCTGCCCCTAATCAGATTATCTCCATATTAGGTCAATGCTCTAGTTGTATACTGATAATCCACATAGTAAAATGAGTCAGAAGACTGCATCATACACGATGACAGTCAAATAAGCCAAGTATAGTGGATAATATTAGGTGTCTAAATATGTACCAAAACAAACTAATATTGTTATACAGTAATTTCTTTAGAAGAAAGACTTCATACATAGCATTCTATTGTTTGTTTTTAAGAATAATTTATGGCCAAATTTAACACATACAAAAAAATTCCCTACTCGATTTATACATTTCACTCTAATTTCAATACAATTATTGAATTAAGGACATCTACAAATACATGTCACTAACTATCTTACTAAAGCAACATTTCTTTTAAATCATTATAAATTAATGTGGAAAAATTTCCCTTTTACTAATACATCCAGATGTTTGAAAATAAGAAATTCTAGATTAAAATTCAGAAGGTGTAATAATACATACAACACTTCTGACTGTGAGATAAAACCAATTTACAGATTGTAAGAGTGTATGTTGCTGATGTGTTACTGACATTGTGACAGCCTGTGCCTGGTTCTGAATTTGAACAAAATCCAGATAATTGATAAAGCAGGAAGTTTGAGAAGTCGCTTTTTTGTTTAGCACATTACACCATATGGTAAAATGAGGCGAAAACGAAGGAGAATGAAATATCTGTTCACGATTTGACATGAAAGTAAAACCACATCAGATTTTAGACAGAATATTTGACATGAGAGTATATGATATGCCAAAAATACCAATGATAAGGCCAATCCTATGTATTTAACATTTGTCTTTGGAATTCAAACCAAATAATGGGAAAGCCTGGAAAAATCATGAGTTGTGTATACGAAAACTTGTGATTTCACTACCAGTTTTTTTAACATTGGAATAGATGTAGCATGGACGTTTTGTTCTCAATTTTTTACTTTATCTTTTGAAAGTTGTTCTTAATGTTTATCTTATTATATTTTAGGTATGAATATCGTTTTGTATTTTTATTGATCAAGTCCCTATTTGTGGCTGAAAATCTGGAATTCGATGTTTACTTGTTGCTGACCAACTCTTACCAATTCTCACCAATGCTTAAAGATTTTATTCATGTGCGCCTAACTTGCTGAATTTTTTCCACAACCTTTAGAAACAAAATAATTTCTTTCTTGAAAAATCTTTTTGCCGGAATATCACTATCTTACTGACAAACCATTTGTCATGCTTTTTAATCAACGACGATCATTTCCTATTACAAATCTGATTTTTTGTTGGTAGTACAAAACATTGCAATAACCATGAAACAAACCCCAGTAACAATTTAAAATGTACATACATAAAGATAACTTACCTAAACCATTTAACTTCTTGTCATGATGTGCGACCTTGACCTCTTCATATGGTCTAAGATTATCGTCAGAATGGAACTCTTCTTCCTCTGAAGAACTGTATGACTTACTCCCCCTGTCCTTGATGCGGCTTCGTCTGTATGACCCCCGAGGCTGAGGTTTCGGTCGATAATTTGAATTTCCGTCCATATTGAGGTTCTTTTCCCTCATGTGAATATATTGCTTTATGTACTACCAAGCTCACATGGATTTGTCATACTCTGAAAAATATAGAAGAACACAAAATGATAATAACAAGCAGTAATTATCACAAAGAAATATTTAATGGATTAACACTACATTTACTTCCTTCTTTCATTAAAATAAAAAAAAAATTTTTCCATTGACCTCAAGAAATATTCTGATGTCATCACCAGAAATTTGTTTAACTTAGTGACAACACCAGAGTAATACTCTTGATTGTGGAATAAATGGATGTTAAAAAAAACAGGGAAATTGCTTTTGGTGCAGTTTCAATATTTTTTGCTGTTTGTGCCATTTTAACAAGAGTAGTTGCTGGTTTCTCTTCTGATATGGCCATGAAATAAATGCAAATGGTTTATTGTGTTACGCTCTGCTGATTCATTACATCACGCTCTAGCGACCATTTGTTGGCAACGTCCCGGTTAGGACTGTAACTTTACAGAAATGCCAATAAAAGGATGTATCCGATTGCACATTGCATGCTATTCCGCCCACTAGTACTGTACACCAGAGCGGCGACACTGACATAACTCATGATAACGAGACACGCTGTTGCACCACTCTCATGCTTTAATTGCATTCGATTGTCATTCTATGGATGTGCTCGGGTCCAATAGTCATCAGTGGAAAGCCACTGCACCTCTCTGCTGGTGGGCCAACTTTGCTTGGTTACATGGTCCTGAGAGATATTGTCCTGGTCATTGGTATTTAGTTAACACTGATGTATAAAAACTCCCTGTACTATAGACTCGTGTACCTCACAAATGCCTTAGTGTAAACTTTGGTGTATCACATCAATTCAACCACAGCCAACCACAACAAATAGTGTCCTGACAGAAACCTTTCTATAATATAGCCATCATCTGTAGCTCCCTTCCTGTGGTGTAGGTAGAATACCATCTAATCAGACCAGAAGGTTATTGTCTGGTATGTGTGACATCAGAAGTGTTGATGATGTTTCCTTATCAAAATATCGAGAAGAAGGAGAGCAATGGTATTCTTAAGAGTTTCCATGCCAACGGTCATCTGTTACCCAATGGACAATTAATAGTTGGTATGTGTTGACCCCTCCATGATACCCACTGTAGCAATAATATTGTGTAAAATCTACACAATAAACCTGTATCTATCTGTACATCTGATCAGGACAACTCTCCTATGTCTATTTATCTACCCAAACTGGTCTTCTGTGACTACTTAATCTACAACCAAAGGACCAAAATGTCAGATGTCTGATATCCATACTGGTCACTATCACAAATAAATTCGTTATTTCTATTATTTCCACTGGTGAAATAGACTCCCTTACTATAAGATGCTAGAGGCTGACCACATAATTGTAGCTACCAAATGTTCCATTCAATTGTTCTTGTAACATTAAAACATTAGGGCATAGCCATAAGGATTGCTGCTTGCTCTTCTAAAATTAACAATGCCCAGATCCTTGTGCTGTAGGCCATGTGTGCTATACATCGTCACACATTGAGTGTCAGCCATTATCAATGGTGTGACTTTATACCACACAAATCTACATTTTCTCCCATGCTACAATAATGTGACAGATCAATGCTGATTGGGTTATCCCCCTTGATTGGGTTACATCCCGCTACCAATCATGGCTGCTATTTTTTAACTTTGTTTTCCATGAAGATTGGCAGTAACACATGCCCATGGCAACGACATCGGACAAAATTAACTGTCCAACTTTCATCATATCTATTCTCTTAACTCAAACAGTTGGTACAAAAATCAATCACTATTACTCACACATGTTCAAATCAATGCAATGGACAATCAAAACAAAGCATTAATTTTTTTCTCAAAGAAATAAAAATAAGACAATTTTTGCTTTGAAAATCATGTACCATGACTATTAATGTCCTGCAGGAACAACAATTATTTTCATATGTCTATAAAATTCCAATAAACGTAGTTGTGATTCATAAGATCATGTGAAAAACACATGCATACATTATATCATTTCTTTCAACAGATATGTAAAAGTTTAATGTTTTTATATTTATCATGAGGAAAATAAAGATAAAATTGTGAATGTGTAAAATACTACTGAAAAGATTTTTCAGAACTATATCATGTGGATATTTATTTCTAAAATGTATCATTTCATTTCATTTATTCCTTTTTTTTTTGTAGTCAAGTGACTTTCCAGATTCAAAACACAATCCTTCTGTCTTCTCATGATGAATAAAACATCACCTCCTACTAATTGCATTACAGGAACAATCTCGATACCAAGAAAGTGAGTTAAGTCCCTTGGACAGACTGTCCAGGCTTAGCCCTTGACACCAGGGTAACATCGAGGATCAGAATGCAATCCCTAGCTGTCCAATCAGCGATTGGTTCTCTTTGTTGCCAAATGCAAAACTGTTGATTAAACTGCCCAATGAAATTAATTGCTTTAAAAGGTTCATATCCTGGCCGATAGTTGATCCTCATTTGTACATTCAGTTTGATTATCCTGACAGTCTCAGAACAATCGTTTTTGTTTTTTGACAAGAAGAAGTGGAGAATGGTCCTGGGCAATGTTAATCTCCTACAATCTTCAAAAGCAATGGATTCAAGGCCTGTTCCAAGCTGACAATTCTAATGCGTTTCTGCATCAATACACACTGTGTTTGGACCGAGGCTACTAACATCCAAACTAGCACTCTGTTATCGATGACCAATACATACTGGTCAAAATGGGAGAAAATTACAATTATAGCTGTGATTTGTCTTTGAATTGCTTTGTTGGCTCAAGAGGGTCCAGCATTAACACACTTCCTTTGATCAATTCTTGTATATTAGAAAATTATCAACTGGTCAGTCATTTATAAAAACAATTCATCACGATAACTATTTGCTCATTAGTGTTTGAAGAGCTTCGATTAGTACTGCCCCTATGACATGTAGCTTAGGGCCGCATCGTCTAAGTTCTCCATCTACACGACTGTTATTGTAGCTTGTAGGATACCATCATCAGTCATATATTCAGTCATTTACAAATGGGAACTCTTATGTACAGAAAACACATAACTACTATAAATAATATGAAATGGATGAATTGGCCATATGGTATGGAAATACACTTATTGTCAATTAATTTTGAACATAAAACACTATAGTGCTTTATCACTATAAAACTATCTTACTGTAATAATGGCAAGAATCATAATTCACACATCAAATTATTTTATTATTTTTGTGATTTAATTGATTTTATTGTTAAATTAAAAGAAACATTATTTTCCATCTTTATGTACACAGATGTATATCTTCCTTACAGAAAAAAAATGTAGGTACTTCCAAGCAATATTTCAATAGTTTTTATCATACTATGCCAAAAACAAAATTATCTCATACAATATAGATATTTCTGATCTTGAAATTCTACACTATATCAAATGGTATGTTTCTAAAGTATATAGGTATGTAGTTGAAGCTATTCCACTATCTAGACCTTATTCACTGGGGTGTAACTGTATCTATCTTTCCACTGATTGGGTGTACACCACTGACCGTTACGAGATATATTGTTACTGATGGAAAAAGCAGACATCATCAAAATTCAAGACAAATAGCATATATTTGTTTTTCACTGACAGATACCAAGCATTTGAATACAATTTCATTTGAAGTATCATGTTTGTATTATCAGGCAATGTTTGGATACAAATTTTCCATAAACCATCATCAACATTATCTTAACTTTCAAGAAGAGGAAATATCAAATTTTTCCAAGAGACAAATTGGGAAAATTTGTTATTCACTGACAGACAAATTGCTGATCCACTTTCAGTCAGCGCCCAAAGATGTCTGTCCACCTTTTATCAGGAAGGAATGTATACAAACAAGGCCAGAACCGTTCCACACACCACTACACTGTATCAAAGGTGGTCTGCTTTTCATCAAACTATCAAAAGCTATCAACTACAGGCCATCTCAGCCAATCAAGTGCCTCTATAATTGTCTGTGACAGATTGTTTATTTTAAAGTAAACCTAAAACTTTAACATCCAAAGGATACATGATGGTAAAAACACTTGCGCTGGGCCATAAATCACTAATTGTACATGTGAACATTAACAAACGGAGCTGTCGAGTTTAGAATGACTGAAGGATAGAATTTCTGTTTGGACCAACTTGTCTAGGCTCTAAAGGAATTCTCACAGTTAACTGACAAAATTGTTCTGATAAACCCTTATCAATGTTAGACTCTTGTCCTGTTAATTTTCAAATAATTTGTACCTACCAGGAGAACTTTAATGACATATTAAACTGTTACTAGATGGTTCAGACAGTGCACCTATAGGGTTTAACCAGGTTGATTGTCCTGAGCCAATCCCTATAGTATTTAGCCGGGTTTATGGTCCTAAGCCAGTCCTTATAGGATTTAGCCAAGTTTATGGTCCTGAGCCAGTCCCTATAGGATTTAGCCAGGTTTAGGGTCCTGAGCCAGTCCCTATAGGATTTAGCCAGGTTTATGGTCCTGTGCCAGTTCCTATAGGATTTAGCCAGGTTTATGGTCCTAAGCCACTCCCTTTAGGATTTAGCTAGGTTTATAGTCCTAGCTGATTATTTAAAGGATTAAATGATATGGATTTGTAGTAATTACATGTATAATTGTATTTTATATGATTTTCTGTACTAGAAGAGTACACCAAGTCTATGTAAATATTTACTAACTTGTAAAATTCTATTGAACTATCATGCCTGTTTCAGGCTGGTAAAATCTATATAAATATTTCCAGAATCTTATTTCCATCAACTCTCATTGTTTATTTCTTTTCAATTGAAACATTGATTTATCATAAAGAACTTAAAAACAGAATTTTTACCGTTAACCCATTGTCTACAATCATATTTAAATACTGTAGTTCACTGAAATTTTGGAGAGCTCTTGTTCAACAGCTCAGATGAATTTGGAGCATGTAAATAAAATCAATG